CCCCCCCGTTTTCCTATCCCTAGCCAACTTCTCTCTAGGTGATGTTCCACAGCAGAACTAACAGCCATTCTCATTGCTTTTCAGGTGAACTTTCTGCTCTCCGTGTCTAATTAAGCAGGCCTGTTGGACTGGGCTGGGCTGTGTGTTAGCAGTGTCCTGTGGGCCAGTGCTGAGGAGTCTTGGCGGCCTGCAGGGTGCTGAAGAATCTTGAGAACCACCTGGGCATGCTGCTCCATGCTGCCAGCAGAAGGAAACAAAGCGAAGTGAAGAGATTGGTGTTACCCTTTCACAGACACCATATGCCAAAGATTCATTGATGAGTTGTGGTAACCATCCTATGTCAGCAGTCACCAGAGCAGAAGCTTCTATAGTAGCCATGGGGGAATGTTTCCTCACAAACGTTGTGCAATAAAAAGAGGTTACAATAAGTAGTGCAAAGAACTTTATGGAAATACAGCTAACTGGAAAGCTGTTAATGCTTGAGACACTGCAACACTTTTAACCAATGAGCATTCCACAGTGACTATTTTTGTACTTCCAGAAATCTTACTTCTACACTCTATTTTATGTCATGTTTCTTCTATCATTTTGAAGCTTAGGTGGGAGTACTTATAGTTCCATTTAAGAATGCATCCTCCTTGCTCTCCTGGGAATTCAGGGTGTCATCTTTGTCTGGGAGAGGAAGAGGCAGAGGCCTCATGTAACCCATGCCCCTTGAATGGCTGGGGTGCAGAGCATTCAGAGCAGGGAACTGTAGCCACCACAGACACAGGTGGTATTGGCCTCTTCAGTGCAGATCTTCAGGGTTCTGTAGTCTGTAGGTGTGTGTGGGGATTACCAATTAATGTGTCTTGAGTCCGGGACATCAAGGAGAAAGACACTAATGAGCGGCAGGTTTCATGAATGAAGTGTAGTCAGTCGTTTTCTGCATACTACCTTCAGTTACAGTTGTCCTTTAAAAGGCAAACGCTTTCCTGTGTATCTCTTTATCTGCCTGTCCAGTGCTGTGGCAGCCTTGGAATCTCCAACCCTGCCACAGTAGAATACATTCACCCACAAATGGAAGGATGACAAACACTGCCCATACTGTATCAGGGATCACAAATTATGAGTATCTGCGAATTTTCCTACAAATTTTTCAAATTCAGAATTGGATTGCCTTTTGCCTCTGATGTTACAGTAAATGTAGCTTTTTTTTGTTGTTGTTGTTCAAAAAAGAATTCTGAGTCATTGAGAATTCTCAAGCAGTGGGGTTCTGGAGTGGAGCCAGCGACCTTGTGGTGCAGGTGGTATGAGTAGCATGCTCCTTAACCTGAACGCAGGCTCTTGCACAGGGCTCCTGAGGTCAGTTGCTTTTCAACCAGGTTTGAATTGGTGGTGGACATTGTTTGATAGAGCTTATTACTCTCTATTTTGGGAAGGTAAGAGGGTCCATATTCTTTCTTTGCCATAAATGAATTAGGAAAATTATATTTACTTACATTTACTGTTTTAAATATGTTTAATGAAATAAACTGTAAAATATCCAGTTTCATGTATTATATGTATATTAGGTTTTCCAGTAGCCTTTCCAAAGAAATGAAGGCATGATTATTGTACAGTACTGTGACTGATTAGTTTGCTGTACAAAGCCGAATGTGTTCTTCGGGATACAAGTATGTAATGGCACTTGTTCTTGTGGTTTGATCTTTCGTTTCAGAAACATTCAGATACCTTACAAAGTGCTGGGTAGGAAATAGTGATCCAACTTGTTTGCTAAATGAATATTTGTTTAAATCTGTACAGTTTCACGTGTTTACTTATACAGAGTGTACATACTTTGAAAATAATTAATTTAAAATGCTTTATATTATTTGGCTAGAAATTGCTGTTTTTAATAAATGAATTTTTTAAAAAAATAGTTTTTTTGCTTCCAACTTTGTCCTCATGGATCCAATATGTATGTGAATTCTTAAACATTTTTTCTAGTAATGGGATTTGAATTCAGGGCATCTTGCTTGCTTGCTTAGCTGGCTTTCTACCACTTGACCATGTGGCTCTTTGCTGATTATTTTGGAGATTACTCCCATCCCCCATATCTATTCTTCTTCGTCTTTCCTCCTCTCTCCTGTCCCCCAGATCTACACATTTAACTTCGTTTTAACATTTCCTTAGTTCCTTTTAATTTTAGCCACTCCTCTTAAGGTTTTTTGTTGTTGTTGTTGTTGTTAGTGGTGGTGATGGTGGTAGTGGTACTCATGAGGCTTGAACTCAGGGCCTGGGCACTGTCCCTGAGTTCTTTTGCTCAAGGTTAATAATGCTCTGCCACTTTAAACCACAGCATGTCGTCTGGTTTTTGAGTGGTTAATTAGAGATAAGAGTCTCATGGCGACTTTTCTGCCTGGACTGGCTTTGAACTGAGATCTTCAGACAGATCTCAGCCCTTCTTAGTAGCAAGGATTACAAGCGTGAGCCATTGGCTGCATAGCTCTATAGTTTACTTTTTTTTGTTGGTTGTAGGGCTTGAACTTTGGGCCTGGGTTTGGCCCCTTAGCTCTTCAGCTCAAGGTAAGTGCTCTACCACTTGAGCCACAGTGCCACTTCCAGTTTTTGAGTGGTTTATTGGAGATGATAACCTTACACACTTTCCTGTTCTTGCCGGGGCTGGCTTTGAACTGCAATCCTCAGCCTCCTGAGTTTTTAAGTTGAATGTGATGGCATGCACTGTAATCTCAGTGGAGGCTGAGGTAGGAAGATCATGAGTTCAAGACCAGCCTGGGCTACATAATATGACCCTGTCTCAAACCAAAAAAACTTGGTTTTGTTTTAAAGAAGCCCTATAAGCCAGGCAAAGGGGGCTCATGCCTATAATCTTTGCTGCTTAGGAGGCTGATCTGAGGATCACAGAAGACAGCACAGACAGGAAAGTCCCTGTGAGACTCTTGTCTTCAATTAACTACCAAAAAGCTAGAGTGGGAGCTATGGCTAAAGTGGTAGAACACCAGCCTTGAGTGAAAAAAACTAAGGGACAACACCCAAACCCTGAATTCAAGTCCCAGTACTGGTGTGCACACACATGCACATGCATACACCAAGAGCTCTGTAATACAATGAACCATGGTCTGGATGTTTTCCTATTAGTGAATCTAGGGAACTCTACAGTTGCAGGACACACATTCTTTTCAAACACGTAGAACACTGCCAGGATAGACACTACCATAGTAGACATTGTACTAAGCTAGTAAATAAAATGATATCCACTTCCCTGTGTGTGCACACGTTGTGTGTGTGCGCTTGCACTTGCATGTGTGTTGCTTTCTAGGCTTGCAGTGAGTGCAGGAGCAAGTGAGGAGACCTCTCTGGTCATTCAGCAGTTTACTGTCTCAGTTCATGTCCCTATGTCCACCCTTTTTGCCTAGCCTGAAGACAATTGAGCTGGGCCTTTTAAGTTTTTCCATCACTAGCTGGTGTTTTTAGGCTGTATGGGAAGCCAGGACACACTGATTGGTATAGGGAAGGGCATGTCCTTCTGCTGTTTCTCCTTATCCCTGGGCTCAGTGGGGGAGATCTGGTAGCAATCTAGTGAGTTTCTTTGAAATCTCAGTGTGAAGCAGCTAAAGAAGGGAGGTGAGTGTGTGTGCCTTGTGTTTGCTGCTCTTATGAGTTCCCCTTTATTAATTTGCTAATTATATTACATTTCCCTGTTTTAGTTAATGATGTGCTTTTGGACTGAACCCTGGCCGATAGAACCTTTTGAGTTTGTATAGCTGGGAGCAGGTTACAGCTGCCAGTTAATTCTCATAAAGAAGATTCCCTCACAGAAAAAGGTAATGGTGGGGGACAGCTGGTGGGGGGTAGGGGGAAGTACTTATCCAACAGGCCTCTAAATGCCATACTTTTAATTTTTTTTTTATTATAAAGGTGATGTACAAAGGGGTTACAGTTAGAGAAGAAAGACAATGACTACATTTCTTTTTGGATAATGTCACTCCTTCCCTTATTCTCTCCCAGTATTTCCCTCCCATCCCCATCCACAAGTTGTATAGTTCATTTTTAACAGTGTCTAGTGAGTACAACTGCTGCGTTTATTTACCCTTTGTCCCTCCATTTTTGTGCCCCCTTTGCCTTCTCAAAGGCAGATAAACAAATGAGACAGAAAATAAAAACCTCTTGTTTCCATATCCTGGAATTCATGTCAATAATATTATATGATCAGATGCACATAGATATTGCGCCGTTTTTTGTTCCTCTCCTAAGAGTATCTCCTTTGTTCTCACTGTGTGTGAATGCCTAAAGACCTGTCTAATTGATTATGTCCCAGTGTAGGTCTAGCTTTTCCAGCTGAGAAATGTGCCATTTGTGCTTCTGAGCTTGGCTTACCTCACTTAATGTGATTTGTTCTAGGTTGATCCATTCCCTGTAACTGATATTCTAATGGTTATGCAAAGCTTCACTGTGAAAATCCACGGTTTTTAGGATCGATTTCTACACCTTAGCTATTGTGAATAGTGCAGCAATGAACATGGATATGCAAGTGTTTTTATGATATCCTGGTTTATAATGTTCTGGGTAGATGCCCAGGATGGGTAGGTGATATGTCTGGGCTGTAAGGAAGGCCTCTGTTTAGTTTTTTGAGGAACTTCCAGACTGCTGTCCAGAGTGGTGGTGGTAGTTTACATTTCCACCAACAGTGCAATAGGGTTCCTTTTACCCCCACATTCCTACCAAAATTTGTTGTTTGAGTTCACAGTAGAATCTCAGGGTTGTTCAATTGATTTTGCATTTCCTTTACAAATGCCATACTCCTTTTCTTCTTCTTTTTTCTTTTTGGTCATGGAGTTTGAACTCAGTGCCTGGGTACTGAATGCCTGTGCTTTTTCACTCTACCACTTGGAGCCACTGTGCCACTTCTGGTTTTCTGGTGGTTAATTAGAGATGTCTCATTGACTTTTCCTACCTGGGCTGGCTACAAACCATGATGCTCAGATGTCAGGCTCCTGAGTAGCTAGGATTACAACCACCAGCACTTGGCCAAATGCCAGTCATGTGTCTCTTCTAGATGTTTGCTTTCAGCATCTGCACCTTTGCCTCTTCTTGAAATTCCCAGCATGCCTTGTACCCCTAACTCTACTTCATTTTGCAACTCAGCTCAATACATTCTTTTGCTTTCCACTGTTCCCTCCAGAAAACAGTTTAATGTCTTTGCTGTGGCTTGCCTCTCTACTTCCCTATCTGGAATCTAGTGCAGACAGCCTGTCCTTCCTTTCTCCTTCCTCATAACATGTGGATGCTTGCTGTCTATGTGTGCATGGCCTCATTACATACACATTGGAAAAGGCTCCATTATTTACCTACCATCTATCCTTCAGAAAGTCATTAAGTATCATCTACTATGTATGTTCTGATTAACAGTCCAACCTAGTGCCCTTCCATTTCTAGAAATGCCTTTTCCTGCCTAGTTTCTGGAGAGAAAATACTAAGTCAGAGGATTCGTTCTCTCAGGAGAGTGGAGGCCTAACAGGGGTGCGGTATGTGAATCAGAGAGGGTGGCTTGAGGTGAATTGTACCCCTGTACTTCCAGCAAAATTCATGTATTGAAATCTTAGCCCTGACATTTCAGAATATGACCTTATTGGAAATAGGGTATTTGTAGAAGTAGTTACCATGAGATCATATACTGGAGTAGAATGGGCTATTCCAATACAGCTTAAATCTTTGTAAGGTGATTGGACACCACACTGTGTGCCCATGCACACACTGGCACACACATGGCCCTGTGGAATTTTTGGAAGGTGGAGTTTGGGAGAGGTGGAGAGTTCCCGGACAGTTCCTTTCAGCACCTCTAGAGGGAGCTGCCCACACCTTGGCCATAGATTTATTTCAGAACTATGAGGTGTGTTGTTTGTCATCTAATTTGCATTTTCATCACAACCACCTTCTTAGCAAACTAGCACAGAGGTGCATTTTGTAGTCAGTTGGCCATATTCCATATTTCCTTCCAGGCCTGAGGCTCTGCATGTGACTTTTTTGTGTACCCTGTTGTTCTCTCCAGCATTTGACAGCTGGCATTCAATGGCCGTTACAGTAGATGCTGGAAACTCATTTCTTTTTTTTTTTTTTTGAAATTTTAATATATATTTTTCTAGTAAAGATACTGTACAGAGGGGTTACAGTTACATGAGCAAAGTAATGAGTCCATTTCCTATCGAGCATTGTTACTCCCTCCTTTGTTTTTTTCCTACCTTCCCTTTCCTCCCTACCTCCCTGAATCTCCCCTCCCCACAAAGTTGTAAAGTTTGTTTTCAACATAGTGTCTTGTACATCTTATTGTTACAATGGGTCATCCTGTGTCCTTATTTCAGCATTTTGTTTTCCCTTTCCCTCTCCAAATTAGAAAAATGTATATATAAGATGCAGGACAGGGGGCTGGGAAGGTGGCTCAGTGGTAGAGCACTTACTTTGCATGCTCAAGGCCCTGGGTTCGATTTCTCAGCACCACATAAGCAAAAAGAAAAAAGCCGGAAGTGGCGCTGTGGCTCAAGTGGTAGAGCGCTAGCTTTGAGCTGAAGAGCTGAGGGACAGTGCCCA